ATAGAGAGAGAGAGAGAAGAAAATCTTTGAAGTTTGACCTTGGTGAAGCAAGCGATGGTGGTATATGCAGTAGGTGACGGAGATGGAGATGACGCCGATGGGAGTTTCAATAAGAGTGGGGATCGTCCTCATATCTTCTTGGAGAAAGATGTGATCTCGTATACTTTTAGAAGGGCTTCCATGATGGTGGTGGGGTCTTTTTCACCACCATCTAACGAACTTTTTGGCCTAGGAAACTGGACTAAGAGGGCATGGAACCTGTCTTATGAATCTGTGGTGAGGAAGATCGAAGACAACCGTTGTGTTTTCATTCTAGCCTCATCTGAGGATGTTTGGAAAGCAATGCAGGTTCCAATGCATCGGGTTCAAGGTAAGCTTCTAACTATTAGAGTATGGAGTTCTTTGATTCATTCCTTTTTAGTTAGAAAAGATCTTTATTGGATCAGATTGTTTGGTATCCCGTTGCATGCTTGGGAATACCTGTGGTGAGTTTGTCAGTATGGATCGGACGAGCCTTATCAATGGAGATATATCTTATGTTCGGTTGAGGATTAAGAGGAATTCATTGTCACCTTTGTTTAATGATATTAGATTATCTATTCATAGTGAGGATTTCTTAGTTAGCGTCCTTTTTGAAGGGTTGAAGAATGATCCTAAACCTAGTACTCCTTTGGGTGATGGGAGGAATGAAGATGGTATTCATTCGGAGGTGGAATCAAAATGGCAGACAGTTAGAAGAAGAAAATGAAGATATATGGATAAAGGTAAGTCTGTAGTGATCGATAGGAAAGGTCTCAAGTTGTAGAGAACAATGGTGTCAAATCTTGAGAGGAGTAATAACCATACATGTGTGAGTGGGGCTTAATGATAATTCAAATGGGATTCCTAAAGTTAAGAAGGATATAAAAGGTGGCAGTTTCTCAAATTTGAATACAGTTGACCAAAGGGGTTTTTTAAGTAAGGAGGTGGGGACTACGAGTATTAATGAAGGGGTTGGAAATGTTGCCTTTTTTAATGAAGATAGAAGTATGATTTGTCAGGGTAACTTGGGGAAGGTACAAGGGCATTCTTTGGTGGGCAATGAGATTTGTATAGGGGATTTGGTTGTTCCTATTAACAATGCCTATTTGGTAGGGAGGAATGAGTTTCCATTGGATATTGGGGTTGGCAGAGGGTATGGTAGTGATCTTCTTAATTATAAAGGGGTTCACAGTTTGGCAAAGTTGGGGGTTTTATATTCATTAGCTTGCTTTGGAAGACCTGTGACTGCTACTTTCTCTTTTGAGGAAGTGGTGGTTGTTCTTCTTTTCATATTTAGACTCCATAAAGTCATTGCGTTGACTCTTGTAGCTGCATGGTGGGGGACCATGGAACATCGTTACGTGCCATTCCATAAGACTGCCCATAGGAGGTTGAATCGAGCATTGCAGTTGCCGCTGGAAGAGAAAGGGCTTCCGATTGTGGTGTTGGATGAGGGTACTGACGTTGACATAGAGCCACGACAGGCGATTCCATTACTAAGTCCTTCACTTTTCCTATGGAGTGGAGGGTAGCGAGTCGGGGGGAGCGATTGTTAATCAAGCTAATCTAGCCCTTGAGATTGGGAATGTTGAGTTGGAGAAGGTGGGGGTTCAAGCTTCAGTTGGGGGTGTTCTAGAGTTTGTCGGAGATGACGATGTGGCTATGGGTGAGATAGCTGAGAATGTTTTTGAGGATGGAGGTGATCTCGGTGATAATGGGGAGGGGACTGCATGAGGGGTTACTGGGCCTCATTTAATAGGGATGAAGGCGAGATTGTCAAAGAGGGTGATGTCAATGGGCCTCATGAGGCTCGTATGGGGGTGGTTGAGGATAAGCCAGAGGAGATTGTTGCAATGTGTGAGGATATCGAGATGGATCTCAATGTGTCTATTCCTAGGGTACTTGAGGTTATCAATGAGAGGACAAAGGCTGCTAAAAAGGCTGGGAAGATGAAGTTGGGTGTGGCTTGGGGGAAATTTGGTAATTCTGAGTGGGGTCCTTTGACAACCCCCACTTGATTTTCACTTAAGTTGGTGGCCAGGCATCAACCTCAATCGAAAGTGTCGGCTGTTGCTATTGATGAACATGGAAAGGAGGTGCTTGCAGTCCCTTATTCTAGTTCATCCTCTTCAAGCTTTCAAGATTCTCCTAGTGTGGCCATGAAAGGTTCCTCTTCACATTTTAGTGAAGGTCTATAGCTGGAATGTGGTGGGTTTGGTGGACCGAGAAGAAAACGTGAAGTTCTGCTCCTTATCTAGTCCCTAAAACTTGAAGTTTTGATGTTGTAGGAAACTAAACTGCCAAGTCTGATAGTTAATTTTGTTAGGGAAGTTTGGGGTGTTAGTCTAGTTGCTTTTGTAGGTATGGATTCAATAGGTGCGTCTAGTGGTCTTTGGTCCTTGCGGGACCTTGCTTGTTTCCAACTTGTGGACTCTCTTTTGACTGAAAGAATTGTAATGTTGGTTTTGAAAAATCTAAAGGATGGTTTTATTTGGATGTCCTTAAATATGAATGGCCCTAATACCAATAATCTCAAAGAGGATTTTTCGAATGTTTTTTATGGTATTATCTTTGAAATGGAATTGCCTGTTGTTGTTGGTGGCGATTTCAATATGAATAGATGGCCTTCAGAAATATCGATTGTATCTTCTCTTAATTATTTCCTGAGGTTATTTAATCAGTTTATTGAGAGACATCAATTGTTTGATCTCCCAATAAATGGAGTTAACTATACCTGGTCAAATAATAGCATCAATAATCTTATTCAAAGTACGATTGATAGATTACTGATTTCTAATGAATGGGAGCAACATTATCCTCTGGCTCGGGTAGTGGCCTTCACTAAATTGTTATGTTCTATTGTGCTTATATACTGATAATTCTCAACTTGGCCCAAGACCCTTTTGTCTCGACCTTGTTTGACTTGAAGAGAAAGCTGTTGTGGAGATTATCAAATAAACTTGGCAAAATTCAATTATTGTGGGTTGGTATGTGTATAGGGTGCATAAGAAGCTTTTAAGTATTAAAAAAACATTGATACAATGGTAAAAAGAAAGTAAGTTTCATATTAAAAATAGGATATATAAAACTTTGTTGGATTTGGAGTGTGTTGAAACTCAGATTCAGAATGGAGGCAATCTAACCAGTATTCTTCGTGAAGAGAAAATAGTACTTCTTAACTCCCTTTATGATAATTTGCAAGCAGGAGAAATTTATTGGCGTCAAAGATCAAGGGTGAGATGGTTGAAAAGGAGATAAGAACGCAAAATATTTCAACTGTGAATTTGAGGACGACAACATGATATTTCAGGTGTTTTTTGAGGGGGTTTTGGATGGCGATAGGAGTTCGTGGGAGATGAAGTTTATAGCTCATTTTCAGGAACTCTTTACTAAGGATATGGCACTAACT